TTACGTATACAAAAATTAGGGGGCAATCTTGTTTCCTCCAAGAGAATAAGCCAATGTCAGATTTTCCAGAACAAAGAGGGCAAAAATGACTAAAATCTGACATTTGCTACCCCTCCCACTACTTTTTTTAAGCAAATATTTTTCTCTCCTGGTTGGAAAGGGAATTAATATTAGGTATAAAGGTGACCTAAAATCTCCTCTAGGTAAGATATGTGATGAATAATTGTACTTACAGATACAGTGCCACCCACTGGCATGCTCAGAATTGCCTTTTTAAAAAATCTTGCCTGACAACTGGAAATATGTTCAGAAGGCAATAGCAAGGTGCTTCCATAGGAGCAGGGAAGAGGATTATACCTTCTCCCTTGAATGATAAATATTATTTCACTGACTGAAACAGAGGAACATACTAGTGTGACCATCAGATAGCACAGAATTTTAAACAGAATTATTTGATAACAGCTGAATATTGTACAACACCCAGTTGCAAGAGGAGTTAGAGCTGTCCTACCCACTACTGAAGGAATAGCCAAATGGAATGATAAGGTGATACATCTTTGTCAGGATCTCTATTACTTAGCTTCTCTTTAAACTAGGGAGCTTAAACATTGCAACCTTTCCTCACAGGGAAATAAAGCTTTTGACTGTTCTTTTTTACATCTTTTCTAGACCAAAAATATCGAAGTATCAAAGGTCCACTTTCAAACATGTCCTGGACCAATATAATTTTTTGTTCATCTTATAAAGGTCCTCTTTTCCAGTGACTATAGCTGTGGAACCATTTTCCTTTAAGAATACTGAATATTTTCCTTTGGGGAGGGAGGAGAGAAGAAATGTTGAGGAGAATCTTAACACATTTCTGATTCAGCCATAAACTATGTGAATATTCAGTTTATTTCATTCCTATTCACTGTCAGCCAATTGCTAATTTGTGTATTTCTTAAGATATAATTTGTTGTATGTATGTGCTTTTTAGATCACACATGTAATCCCAGTCAATGAAGAATTAGAAATAGCTGTAATAAAACAATACGAACTTTGCACAGCCATTTATTTGCTAACAGAATAATGCCACTGAAAACAAATCCGGTTAATTCAGGGGGGAAACAGGGAGAATGCTAGGTCTTTTTCAAAAGTGCAATCTAAAAATAGGAAAATCTTTTTTTTTTTTTTAAGCTTTCAAAAATATTTGTGGCTTAACCCTATCCTCAATGTTATTGGCTCTGCCTGGAATGCTAACTTTATTTCCAATGGAATCTGTAAAATGAAGAAGATACTGTCAATGAATGAGGTCTGTAAAGCACAGAGATGAAATACATTGATGACAGAAAATTGCCTGTTGCATCTAGGCTAACCAACATAAAGGTGGCTCTGTTTTTTATACATTAAAAAAAAACTGGATGATTTAAGGGAAATGTCAATACTTTAAAACAAATTGTAATGCTCTGAATAACTAGAAAATCACAAAACCTGTATAGTGGGTGACAAAATATAAGAAGAAAATTAGAACACCACATCTCACCCTCTGTATCTCAGCTAGTTCTTCCCTCTTTCCAACCCATCTGTTCCTTAATGGGATGCCACCTGAAAATGAATTAAGATCTCTCGACCTTTGAAAAAATGAACACATCTGAATATTTCATTTTGTTAACTAATCATTAGTGAGCTGGAAACAGCTGCACTTCAAGTATGAGATAGGTGAAAAACATATTTTTAATTTTATACAAGCTGGTCTATTTCTCAGCAATACTTATTTATGGAACCACTAACTTATAGCACCTAAAGTCTAATTAAATACTAAGTCTCACTTTGATGTATACAGAACCTGACTAAGAGGATTAATCAAACTACACCAAACACATGCTCATAAGTGAACACTATAATATCTTTAAAATTATCTTTATGTGCCATTAAGTCATTGTTGACTGTTAGCGATCACATACATGGATCTTCTCCAGGACAAAATTTATTTTTGCACAATAATAATCCACATTTAACACTGGCATTGTCCAGAGTCTTGTTAGGTGTCAAGAAGGAAATGAAAAAGGAGAAAGGGAGCATTATGTTGAAAAAGAATGCCAAAATTGGGCAAAGTAAAGGGAATAATATTATAATGCTTAATAGACGATGTGAATGTATAATTAAAAATTACCTTCTCTTCCAATCTGGGTTACAGGTTACTTAGAAATCTGAACAAAAGGCTTCCTTTCTTTTTCTTTTTCCTGCATTTTTTATTCTTTTTTTCCCCCATTCTCTTCTCTTTAAGTTTAGCTTCTATTAGTTTTTACTATTGTAATTAAAATTATTAATAAAAATTATATTAAAAAAGAAATCTGAACAAAAGGCAATGTGTTTTCAGGTTCTCAATGATGTCACTAAATGTGGAATTATTTTTATTTTGCTATGGTGTAATTCTCATATTGAGGTAATTATTAGTAACATTTGTTTTCACACTCATCATCTTTGGAGCTAATTAGAGGGTTTCAATATTTTCTATTGTTTTAAATTAAGAAAATCTGACACTTCAGTTTTTATTTCTGAAGTCACACTCTAAGTGTAATTCATTACAAACACAAGAGGTGAGTAATTTGTTGAGCATTGCACAAGATCTATTCATAAAATTTTAACTAACAGCAGTATCAATCATTGTTTGTTTTTGTTTTTTTAACCTAAGCTTGAAGAACAACAACAAAACCTTTTCCAAACACCACTTCATAATCCAAAATAAAATCAGGAACTGGGGGAAGGGTAAGTACACATATATACAACAGAGTCGAAAAGACAAAGTATGTTGCAAAATGCCATTAACACCAAATGTTTCAGCTGCCATCCTACAATAATATGGTAACTGAAGAGGGCCCAACATATGGTTTTAGCCAATTTTGGGTGATCTGAAGAAAACATAAGCCACACAAGATCTAGTGAGTACTTGGATGGGAGGCAACTAGAATATGCCAGTCACACATCTTTTAAAAAACACATCCAGGAAGAAAGTAATGACAAACAACATTCTTGTTACCAAGAAACCAGTGTGGATGTGCCCATGAAATCACCAGAAGTTGAGCTACTTAAGAGTTTTTATTTTTATTTTCATCAAAGGAGGGAGGCTTTTAAGAATTACAAAGGATTACAGAAAAAGGAAATATAGTTCAGTTGATCTGAAAACCCTTGTACTCTCTAACTTTTCCTGCCTTCTGAGTACCTCATGCAGTGTTAATCTATACCTTATTCCAATTTATATATATTTAGAAGAGAACATAGTTGCAAGAGAACAGTTGCAAGAAAAAGTATGTGAACCTTTTGGAATTTCATGGTGTTCTGCATTAATTTG